TCCATCGAGAGCACATCTCTGATGATGATAGATGTCAAAAACTGTCGAAAATTAAAATAAATCTTTTAAATCCATTGCTATAATTTGAAAAATGAGTTCAAACTGATGAAGTCCTACACTCGAATGTGGAGAATAATGCTTGATTTTATTTATTTCAGAAATCGTTTTTTAAAAATAGAAAATCTGCTCATTTTCTCGAACTGATGACAGAAGCGAAAATAAGTCAGTACTACGAATTCTGAAAAGAGCCGGCAGCAGGATCGAGACCCGGAAATGACAAAAAAGATATTCACAATGTTTTTTTTTTTTTCAAGTACATCTTCCACCATATCAGGAAAAATCATTCAACTTTTAAGCAGAAATAGCAGAGATCCTTCTGGTATTTGATCATACATATTTCAAAATTCTAGATGGAACGCATGCTTGCTTCTTATGGCCAGTGAAATCTTTAAAAAAAAAAAGATCAAACTTGATCTATAAACTATATAGTTGCAGAATTTGTTTTCTATGGTACCTTGCGTAAGCAAAAAAAACTTTACACGCTTCTCTCTATTTTTTCCGTTCCTTTTTTTTTTTTACTCGCCTTCATAAATGATGGGCTCCTGATTGCGAAAATATTGCAGGGCTGGGAAGGTCGTGATTCCGTGCTGTTTGGCGACCTTTTTGTCGCCCACCTTGACAAAATCGACGCCGAAATCGTCCGTTTCATCGTCAATCTTCTCCAATTCTGCGAGTGCCTTTTCGCACGCCCCACACCGTTTCGTATCTGCAAAAATCGTGACAAAACACCAAAATTCCCATCATCGACAATTTTCATGAATTCATTTATATACGTCATTGAATTTCGGGATAGATCTGATTGATTATTCCTGGATCATATGTTTGAGCGCTTCTACCAAAAGTTTACAAAGAAAAATGATATTCCAGATGTCAGTTTGCATGAGAATGTACTGAGTAACTGCAGGTTATAATGAGCTTTGTGATTTGGAACAGCTAGAACAGATTTTGACAGAAAATATCCAATTTATAAAACCTTGAGAGGACCAAGATAAAATGTTAACTTTGTATAATTTCTCATTGAAGATTCTCTATAAATTGTTCAATCAGCTAAACCTTATCTGAGAGTAGGCTAAACACCTTGTGCTTCAATTTGTGTTCAATAATTGTCTCATACCACAATTCTTATTAATGATATTTTTATCAGGGATGGGAAGAAAGTGTATGTATTTACATATGTTGTGCAATTTCACATTTTGGGATGTTTTTTTTCTTTTTTTTAATGTCCATATGCAACTTTCTTTCTGTATTCCATTTTGATCTGATGGGATGTGTTTGGATGAATGTGGAGGGGGGGAGAGGGTTTGGATGCGGGAACATTGCTTGAACCTTGTGAATGCTGAAAAGCAGAAAATAAAGCTTGCTGTTCAATTAAATTCAATAAAGCCATGAGATCTCAAAATAACAAACTAGATGTGCTTGAAATTTACATCCTGGTAGAACATTCAGAAAACTACAAAAAATATATTGCTTCCCACCACATCTGGCCAAGCAGTCAATTTTCATAAATTGTTAACATATCAACAGGAAATCTTTTCCTACACAAAGGATGCCAAAAATCAGAGGTAATCATCCATAAACCCCTGTTGCAAGTTGTTCCACATTCCAGACACATACAGAAAGTTTTTTTCTTTTAATGCCCTGTCTACTGCTAAAACTGGAAATAGACATTGAATGGAATGTAATGATTCACAGTATTTTCAAAAACATGCAGAATTGATTAAATGTAGTATGAAACAGATCTGTTCTGTTAGTTGATTGGGTGGTTGTCTGGTGGCATGATTTCCTGCATCCTGGGTTTTTGTGTGCATGTGCATGATGAATTTCGTGCTTCCTGCTGGTTTTCACCTGGGTGGGGGTTTATAAACTTATTTATTTTCCTTTCTGTTTTTCCCTTGGATTTTGTTTCTGGTACACTGATGTGGGTTGTCCTAATTTTAAGGTAATTTTTGGGCAGTTTTGGAGACAGCAGCTTGCTTAGCAGGAACAGACTCGCTGAAAAGCGGCAAATAAAGTTTTCTGTTCATTCATTCATTCTCCTGCCTGAAAAATGCACATCTTAAAATCAGACTTTTCTCATGTGGCAGACATTTTGAATTCCTCCTCAAATGCTACTTTTCCGAGAGAAATCTAAATAAAAAAAAACAAGCACACTTTCGCAGTCCTCACTTTTTGCACAGGGTGAAATGTCCGGCGCCAAGTAGACGACGCAAAGTAATCAACAAGACAAATGCAGGAATAAATGCATAAAACAGAAGCAGACCAGAGATGAGAGAGAGAGAAATGGAAAAAGAAAAGCGCTGGAATACGACAGGAAATGGAGGAATAAAACACACGAGCTGCGGCTAATAGAGGGATGATAAAACAAACGAGACGGAGACAGATGACGCAGAAAATGAATAAGAGTCGGCAAAAATTTGAGTGGTATATATATATACAGTATATAATGTATATGCTGATGAGTGAGGTGAGTTTCTGTGGGACACGAGGCGGTGATAATGACTGCTGTGATGCTGCTAAACTATTTGTACATAGTTCTTCTCCTCATCCTCCTTCCCCTCATCTTTTTTCGTCACTGCACTTTTTTATTTTTCTTCTTCTTGATTTTCTGCTTGCCTGCTTATTCATGTTCATTTTGGCACTTGGCCAGGAAAACATCCCCAGCACTAACGTGTAGACACTAGGAAAGAAAACGCAGGCGGATTTTTGCCGACGTTTTAAAATCCGCCGACGTGGGTCAGCTGCTCATGTGATGTGCAACACTGCAAACACCACTTCCGGACTCGGGGAAACCCCTTCCGAAAAATTCCTGCTCATGATTTTTATTCGTTTATTTTATTTTATTTATTTATTTCTTTTGTTTTGTTTTGTAGCTGTTGACGTTATTGTCACTCACTCACTCCTGTCCCTGACTGACTGGTGATGCGAAACACACGTACTAGGGTTCTAACAAAAGTTCCTGAGATACAAATTAAAATGGCACATGATTTGAACTTAAAAAGAACATGAATGATTGTTCAGAAAAAAGCTCTTTTGGCAAAGAATAAAAATCAGACCATTTTGGCACATTTTTTGGAATACTTTTTGCAGAAGTCATTCTGACAGCTTTCTGGTCTTCATTTAAAAGATGTGGCAACCATCTTGAAAATTTGGTTTTGTACAGGTGGTTACCTTGCAATTTGACCCTAATACGGTATGTTCCCAAACTAGGGTTGAATTGTAAAGCGGTCAAATTGCAAGACACTTTGTGAAATTTAAAAAATATCAATGCAAAATGGTGAAAAAATGTCCAACGCAGGTTGAATTGCAGGGCAAGGGCTCAATTGCAAGTCAACCTACCTGCAAATTCGACAGTCACATTTTGGGATGCTCAATTTGTGAGAGGTTGGATTTCAAGGGACCACCTGTACCTTGCAATTTGACTCTTATCTGCTGCCAAACTGGGGTCCAATTGCAAATTGGTAAAATTACAAGACATTCCGCCGACGTGGGTCAGCTGCTCATGTGATGTGCAACACTGCAAACACCACTTCCGGACTCGGGGAAACCCCTTCCGAAAAATTCCTGCTCATGATTTTTATTCGTTTATTTTATTTTATTTATTTGTTTTGTTTTGTAGCTGTTGACGTTATTGTCACTCACTCATTCCTGTCCCTGACTGACTGGTGATGCGAAACACACGTACTAGGGTTCTAACAAAAGTTCCTGGGATACAAATTAAAATGGCACATGATTTGAACTAAAAAGAACATGAATGATTGTTCAGAAAAAAAGCTCTTTTGGCAAAGAATAAAAATCAGACCATTTTGGCACATTTTTTGGAATACTTTTTGCAGAAGTCATTCTGGCAGCTTTCTGGTCTTCATTTAAAAGATGTGGCAACCATCTTGCAAATTTGGTTTTGTACAGGTGGTTACCTTGCAATTTGACCCTAATACGGTATGTTCCCAAACTAGGGTTGAATTTTAAAGCGGTCAAATTGCAAGACACTTTGTGAAATTTTAAAAATATCAATGCAAAATGGTGAAAAAATGTCCAACGCAGGTTGAATTGCAGGGCAAGGGCTCAATTGCAAGTCAACCTCCCTGCAAATTCCTGTCAGTGTAAAACCCTACGAGTTAAACACTCTCCAACCTAAAGTTCCCTGGTGGACATGGAACGTTAAACTGAGAATAGACGACGGTTTGACCCCAGGTTAACGTTTAACCATTTTAATGTTCTGTCTCCATGAAATTCAAAAATATAACTACAAAATGCAAAAAAAAAGTGGCCAAAGCAGGTCAAATTGTGGGGCAAGGGTCAAATTGCAAGTCAACCTCTTTGCAAATTTGACTGTCAAATTGCGGGATGGTCAAATTGCAGGAGGTCAAGTTGCAAGGTACCACCTGTATATATTGCAGTTTCTTTTTTCAAAATTCTGACATGACATTAATTCCAAGGGTTGCCTCCCAAGTTGAGGTATTCTGCCACATTTTGGCTGTGAAAGCAGATGATGATGAAAATGGCAGAATTATTAAACAATTAATGGCGGCAACCCTGCTTGGGATTAATGCCATGTCAATTACAAGAATTCAGGAGGGAAAGCTGGGGTATGAAAAAAAAAATCTGCGAGATGGGCGCCTCACTTTTTAAATGAGGAACAGAGAGCTGACTTTTGCAAAAATATTCTGAGAAATACGTCAAACAGGGCTGCATTTTTCTCTTCTGCCGAAGAATTTTTTTTTTTGAAGAACAATGAATTTTTTCTCAGCTTAATCGTAACCCTTTTCCATGTTTAATCCGAGAAACTTCGTTAGACCCCTCAAATACTTTACTTTCTTCATTTGCCTCTTGATAAAGTACACATTTTGTGAAAATGGGGGCGTCACAGAGGATCTTAACTTGTCCAGCAAACTACTCCTCCTGAGAAATTCTTCAAGTCGCGTTCCACACAGTCAACCTTTCCGCAGAAAAACACGTGCCAAATTATGTCTGATCTTGACTGAAAGGTGCTGTTCCATCCAAGTACAGAACAGCAGGACTTTTCAATCAACAGAGGAACTTCAAGTGCTACGCGAATTTTTTCTAGCCTGGTGAGATCTTTAAGGAATGACAGATTTATAAACAAAGTTGCATGAAACCCAATAAAATCTTGGTGAAAGACGTCATAAGCTGGGTAAAAATTTGAATAAGGGCAAAATAATGCTTTCCTCATTCAAATTCAAGTTTTCCAAATTTTGAATTCAAGCTCCCATGATAAAAAAAAAGAAATTGAAAATATTCCTTGATTTCTAAAGTGACTTCAAATAAAGAAAAGGAATTATCAAGTATCCCGAAATAACTTTTTCTTTGCACAAATTCTGCTGAGAATGAAAAGTAGATTCCTACAAGATAAAACTTTAAAAAATGCCAAGCTTTCATTTTTGGTGAGGATCATCCATTTTGAACAGTCACTTTTCTTCCCCAAGACCTTTGTTATAATTTGGTAATTTACAAATTTTAAATTGAAGATACTATAGGGAAGATAAATTGAAAATTGTCCAGCTTAGGAAGGGGTTTTCAAACAACAAGACATTGATTAATATTCGAAAAATAATTCATCAGCAAGAATTCAATTCCGCTGAAAATAAGCAGAACCAACAAAGGAAAGCTTCTTTTTTGAAGGCTTTCCAGAGCCTGCTTGCCAATTATTGCATATTTAAAAAAAAAGGATGCCCTGTGCTGGAAGAA